TAACAGGTGTAGCAGCTGGATCACCATGTACTGATACTTTGGTTTCCTCAGACGTCTCCAGTGTGGAATTCTCCGTTGATGTAGAAACCTGAGACGGATGAATGTGTTCTGATCCTAAACCTTCATCTTGGCTGTTTCCAGACTCACTAGCTCCTTCATCACCCTCCAAACGAGGTTCTGCTGAACTCTCTTGTCCATTGCTGTCCACAGTGTTTGAGGACTCTGAAATTTAAATCAAAAGCCGGTCATTTGACGTCAAATGAATTGGGGGAAGATTTTTTCTTTTAATTTCAAGCATGGTGTTCAACCCCTATCATAATGACATATGTCTTTTTGGACAAGATGTTCTTCTCGGTTGTTGTCTAAAGAAAAGACATGCAAATTACTGTGTTTTAAGTTACTTCAAGATGTTCTATTCTGCCTGAAAAGCATATTGGAGGTGTTACAGATTTAAATACCTGGAAGTAAGTCAGTGTTTGCTGTTCTGCTGTCGTTGTTATCTGTCTTTTTTTCTTTTTCTTCCAAAATTGGCTACAAGATTTTATAAATATATTCAATGAAAACAATTGAAACTAGAACTGTTACTCGCAGGCTAACTTGATAGCAATCTCTATCCAGAACTGTCGTTCACAAAACAGCTAAAAAGAATCCAGCATGTGCTTAAATTACAATATGGTTTTGTTCATGTCAAGCATAGGTAGATATCAAGCCGTTTTACACAACAGAACATACAAATATAATCCTATCGATATCGTGTTGAAAGTTGTCTGACGGTGACATATTTGGGAGAAATGACGTTTTTAATCAATCGATTATGTAAAACATTGCCAAATGACGTAAAAGCTAAAACGGATTTTCAAGACTTTGCCAAGATTCTTTGCATTTAGCTGTTGACAGCAGTGTAAGTGATTGAAAGGAACGACAACTCTGAACAGAGATTGCTTCAGTAGCAGTACTTTGGTAAACATTTTAAAATGGAAGCTAGATTAGGAGCATTACTCTCAATATAGTAGTCAAAATGATAAATACATAGGTGACCAACAACTACCTAATCAAGGTGGATCATGTATACAAAGATAAATCATATCAGCAGCACAGAAGTAATTCAGACAAAATGTATTAATGTAATTAAGAAAAGGGATGTATAGCTCCTGTTGATGTAGTTAAAAGAAACAAAGAGGCCCAGAGGGTCTGTATTGCTGTATTAAATGTCATAGTGACCTGCATTTGGTTCTTCACTAGATGTGCTTGCATATATACTTATTTTGAAAAGCCAGTATGAAACAATATAATATATATATGAAATTCTGAAATCAGTTTTTCCATAATTTGGGTTGTACATGTAGGTCAAAATATAGGTCACAGTGTCCTACTTTTATTCAGGAAACTACCTTCCCCAAACTTAACCCTGTTATAAGTTGATTTCAGTTTGATGATGATATAAAATGATGTTGTAGAAGAAAATAATGCTGGAAAAATCTTTACCTTGAAAGAGGGAGGAGGTAAAATTACAGGTTGCAGTGACCTACTAACTTTTAGTTTGCAATACTCGCGAAATACAACCATATGTTAATCAAGCTGAAATTTTAGCTCAACTTTAATGTGTATTAACAGGGTTTATCATATGTTTACTCAGAATATGAGTGTTTTTGCATATTTGATAACTTCTGACCACTCCTGATACCACTTCCGGTCAACCGTGTGATAAGTTTCTCGTAATGCACCCCCCCATGTGATAACAATTCTCGTAATGCACCCCCTGTTCGGAACACCTCTACTTCTGTATTGGATATGGGAAGCGCCCAAAGCGTTCCGAGTAAAATCCGGATTTGCGCTGTCAGGTTTTTTTTTGCTTAGACAGTGTGTTGAGCAGACGTCAACAAACAAAATGCCAACAAACCAGGGAGAGGAAATACTTAATTCTCTAGCGTCTAGAATATTTGAAGAGTGCAAGGTTGTGACAAGGACACGGAGAACTTCGTCAAAAGTATGAAAAACACAAACACTCACAGAAAAACGGAGTCGGACGTCGGAGTTGAACATATGATAAAAAGTTTATAATATGACCATTTTGATATCTTATCCCTTATCAGCCCTCGGGGATATGATATCAAAATGGTCATATAATAACCTCTAAATAATGTTAAAGGGCTTAATTGGGGATTGGGGGATAAGATAAAGAGAAGCTGGTAGCATAAATATTTTAATGAGCATGACTGTATTACATTTAGTGTGTCTGTATCAAAACCATGAACTCACCACATTGTTGCTGTGCCCCGACTGGTTACTGGAAAATAGCAATTCCCTAGATGTCTCATTCCTGTCTTCATCATCAAAATAGTTATTATTCTGCCATTGATTTCTTGGGGGATTACCCATGTTTTGAGGGGAACTTGAATATGAAATCAACTGTGTTGCATGTACAGAAGCAGCTTGTGGATGTTCCCGAGAAGAAGCATTTTGATGCTCACACGAAGACATTGCCCTGTTTTCGGAGTTAGTGATGTACTGCTGCAGCTTTCTCCTGTCTTCCATAGCTACCTTGATCACTCCTTGTGCTTTCCGTTCTTTAAATCCAGAGTTCTTCTCCAGATCATAAAATGGAATTGGAGTAATCGCTTTCAGTCCTATGAAATTGATGTTTTTATCTACTGTTTGAACAGGAATAAGAGCATTTACCTTTTGGCGTTGAACACATTCAGAAAGATATTTCGCACGTACTGGATGTAGTTTTTCACTTATCTTGGAAATGTGCTGTTTGGCTTCATCTTCTGTTATGAACCTTGTCATCATAATTAGTTCTTCTAGTACGCCTGTAAGAATTTTATCCTTCATGAATTTATCAGTGATAAAAGCCAATATCTTCATGCATTTTGTGGTCACATTCATTGTTTGACTGAAAACATTAGCTTCTGAGCAAACATCAGAATCATCGTACAGATGTATCCTTGCACCCACAAGGTTAAATTTCATGGCTTTTTCTTTCAACCATGGAACAAACTCAGTTTCCACCTGATCATAATCCTCCTTGGCATAAATAACAGCCACATCAACAAGGTATGGTAGTTGCTGAACTCCTGGTGGTACATTCCCTTGTTCACTGTTTGGTACAGAATCTTTCTCTACATCTGACCCAGATTGATTATCATGCTTGGCTCTTCCTCGTTCCTTCTTGTGCCCACTATTTGACTGCGAATTGGTCTTGGGCCTAGCACCTTTATCATCTGGTTGGCTGCTTGCCATTATTTGCAACTGTACAAAACAAAACTGAAAGGTAAAATGTAACACACATTTAAAAAATACAAAACCCATGATAATCAAAATTTGTAAATCATTTTATATTTAAATCCAAAATTTACACAAAGATATGTCCAAGTGTTAGTGCATCCAGATTGTTAGTGTACTACAGAATTCAAATATTTGTATAAAAAAAAACTTGTTCATTTCAGAAGTTTCCTAAGATATGTGTGATGGATTAATGAATACAGGTCTATTAAAATAACGCCATTTATCCTATAGTTAATATTAAACTAGCTGCGATAACGTAGCTTTCTGACAACGAGAGATTTTTTTTATAAATGGCCGGGGCAGAGGAGTATTAATATTACTCATATATATTTTTTGGGGTATTTTCCAGGTAACATTTGAACAGAATTCCTGAATTCTAAACTTCCACAAGCTTAAATGGAATTAAACAATATACATCTGTTCCGATGAGAAGGCAATGATTATGCTAACGGTAGTATTTTCTCTGGAGCCTCATTCATTCCATCTACGACGACTCATCAACAGTAAAAGTGTGGAAATCTCCAAGGCTGCACTAGATATTCTCGGTGTCTTTCGTACACTTCAGCCCAACAGTGAGCCACCATCATGTAATTACTTACAGATACAGAAGGGAACCTACTTTCGTTTTAAAATGTATGCTAAATCATTGGAGGACGAACGATGGATCTCCTCTGACAGACACTCATTATCCTCGATGTGTTTTATATCTAGCGAGTTCTTCTGGCCTCCTGGCAATTATTTGAGCTGTGGCGTCGAACACGAATATCATCGGGAAAGTCTAAGGTATTATAAAAATAGAACTGTTGGAAATTCCAAAAGCGGAACATACTGGTCCTCGGGAAATCTTGTACGCCGTTCCCGGACCCGGGCTTAAAACCCGATACAGGAATAAGAAGATATTTTAATATCTCAACAACGCCATTGTTTTATAAATATTTTAAAATCTAATAATACCAAATATTATATTCTAAATGTGACTTTTAGAATGAAATAATAAAAGTATCAGATAATATAAAAATCGACGATAATGGGACATTTCAAGAATGGCATATATATAACTCGTTATTTATTCATTTATATCATTCGGACTAATATCTCTGGGCAGGTAAGTCAATCTGGTTAATATCTCTGGGTAGGTAACATTACAGCAGTGACGGTAGCACGATTTGCCAAAAAAGACCCAAAAAAAGACGTTAATTGGATAGTTATGGTGACGCGGGTATTATTTATTAGACGTATTTGAGTTACTTCCCCTGCAAACAAGTTTACCGTTTGTCATTTCATCATCCCCGATGACAGAAGTTTTATCGATATTTTTAATACCTAAATTGGTATTTTTCTCACTCTTTCCACATTATTTTATACAGAGAAGAAGTAGGAGAATGTAAAGATAAAGGAGAGAGGAAGGAAAAAAGAAAATTTCGAGACTGATGTCTGGCGTATTCAGAAGAAAATAAACTAATAGTGTATACGTATATATACCACAACAAAAATCGCTGCAATTTACATAGAGGTACCAACGCTAAATCATTAGCTACTTAAGCAATACAATCAATACAATGCAAGCCGTAAACGTAAGTTTGCATGTGAAAACTTATACAAATCGCTTCAATTTAATGATGAAACTTTGTACACATTCAAATATATTTTTATTTTGTACAGAAGATAGATTGTTGTCACCATGACCTCGTCAAAATGCAAGATTTTAAAAGCTTCAAGACAGCGCTACAAACTGAAACAATATAAACTAAAAGCGCACTCCTCCAACCCTGGAATGTATACTCAAATTTGAGGTCTTCCAGTAATATACAGATACAGATACAGATACACCAGAGACGTATATATTGTCTCTGTTGTCACCAAGCAGTAAAACTTCAAGGGAAAGCTGATCTTGGATAGATGCAAAACTTGCTTGTCTATGAGGGACGCGTTTAGGTTGAACTGTGTGAAAAACTCATATAGCATGGATGGCAAACTTCTCGTAGTACTGCAGAACGGCAAAAAGAGAAAACTTTGTTTTGACACCCCACTAAAGGAGAACTTTTTTGCTGGAGGACGCCAACTTTTCACGATATTGAACTTGAATTGTGAAGATCGGTGCGGGACTTTGGGCACGGTCTGTTGCCTATACCGATCTGTGTGCAAATAGTAAATAGTGTTGTGTGTCATTTAGTGATTTTCTTCATAGTGAGGATGTGTGCAAGGATTGTATAAAAACGTACATTGTAGCTACAGGTAAGCCAATATAAAGTATACATTTCACTCTGTAAGAATGTCTGCTGTCCTTTATACTTATGCAACTCACCTAAGTTTATCATTTTTGATTTTGGATTTTTGATCATAGTACTACAATATACAATGTAATTGTGTAATTACTACATGAGTTCAATTCGAGTAAATATTGTACTTATAAGTGTTTATCAGATGCAATTAATATACACGATCAGTTCTTCATATACAGCGATTGTTATATATTTATTTAGCATAACTACAAATGCTGATCAAATCAGCGCATTTTGTTAGAACAGGTATAAAGCATCGAATGATGGAGTAGAGTGTGTATTATTATGACTATTTATTATAAGACAAATAATTATATATCTTTGTATCATCCCATTTTCTTTTTCATTTCTCGCTCAGAATGTTTCTGATTTCTCATTTTGAGATGTTCCCTTATTTACGTCAGATTATGCATTTTTAGCTCACTTGGCCCTTCGGGCCAGGTGAGCTTATGCCGTGGTGCGTCGTCCGACGTCCGGCGTCAATATTTTACTTTAAACGACTTCTTCTTAATAACCGAAAGGCCTAGGGTTATGATATTTGGCCAAAAGCAAACTATGATGAAGGGCCTCCAAGTTTGTTCAAATAAATGACCTTCATCCATTTTCAAGGTCACAGGGGTCAATTGTCTTAAATAATCTTTAAACAACTTCTTCTGAATAACTTAGAGGCATAGGATAATAATATTTGGCCAGTAACATGCTAGGATAATGGGCTACTAAGTTTTGTTTAAATGAATGACCTTTACCTATATTCAAGGTCACAGGGGTCAAATATGTTTAAAACCTTTAAACAACTTCTTCTCAATAACAAAGTGGCATAGATTAATGATATTTAGCCAGTAACATGCTGGGATAAAGGGCTACCAAGTTTGTTAAAACAAATTACCTTTACTTATATTTAAGGTCACAGGGGTCAAATATGTTTAAAACATTTAAACAACTTTTTCTAAATAACCAAGAATAATGATATTTGGCCAGTAACATGCTTGGATAAAGGGCTACCAAGTTTGTTCAAACAAATAACCTTCATCCATTTTCAAGGTCACAGGGGTCAAATATGTTAAAAATCTTTTAAAAACTTCTTCTCAATAACCAAAAGGCCTTGGATGATGACATTTGGCTAGTAAAATGATGGGATGAAGGGCTACCAAGTTTGATCAAACAAATGACCTTCATCTATGTTCAAGGTCACAGGGGTCAAATATATTTAAAACCCTTACACAACTTCTCCTGAATACCCAAGAGGCATAGAACAATGATATTTGACCATTATCATGTTCAGATGAAGGGCTACAAAGTTTGTTCAAACAAACGACCTTCACTCATTTTAAAGGTCACAGGGGTCAAATATGTTTTAAATCTTTAAACAACTTCTCCTGAATATCCAAGAGGCATAGGCTAATGATATTTGGCCAGTAACATGCTGGAATGAAGAGCTACCAAGTTTGTTCAAATGAATTACCTTTATATATTTTCAAGGTCACAGTGGTCAAATATGTTTAAAACCTTTAAACAACTTCTTCTCAATAACCAAAAGGCCTTGGATGATGATATTTGGCCAGTAACATGCTTTGATTAACGGCTACCTTTATTCGAATGAATGACCTTCGCTCATATTCAAGGTCACAGGGATCAAATATGTTTAAATCTTTAAATGACTTTTTCTGAATGTTTAAAAGGTCCAGGGTAATGATATTTAGCCAGAAGTATGCTGGGACGGAAGGCTATAAACTGTCAAGGTCACAGGCGTCATATGCTTAAATCATTTAACAGATTCAAAGGAATCGAACACAGATATTTTGCCTGTAGCTGTATATTAGTCCACTTTTAAGATTACAAGTTTGAGATTAATACCAGGTGAGCGATTCAGGCCCATTGGGCCTCTTGTTTGTTTTGAGATGGCCCCTTTTTACGTCCGGCTTTATAATATTAATAATGAGACCTATATTTATATTATAATATTTATTTTTTATCGGGTATAAGATATATATTTGATAAAAGAATTGCAACGAATTAAGAGTATTGTATTGATATGGATCGGGCAGGAACGGGCGACGATTTACAGGAACGGACAGAAACGGGCGACGATTTACAGGAAAGGGCAGAAACGGGGCAGGATCGGACTTATTTATATATATATAATTTAATCTTGCTGGTAACAAGCATTTTGATTGGCTTAGAAAATTATGTTATCAGCCAATAACATAAATCAAAGTACTGAAAGTACTGAAAGCTAAGGCAAAAGACATATATAAATACTATTTTTGGAATGGAGAACAAAATAAAGACGAAGTTCCCATCATATTGTACAGAAGGATTTACTGTTAATTTGTTATGAATCATAGTTTTATGTAAAAGTGTACCACTGTGAAGTTATTCTTCTTATGTGTACAGTATATCTTTATAGGTTTGTCAGAAGAGGGGTACCAAGTTTCCTCTAGAATATATCATTTTAGACCTTTTAGATAATGCATTTGCATAGGAATTAGGAATTGCTTCCCTTTGTCAATGTTTCAAACATACTGAAACTGGCATTTACCCCTTTGGCCAATACCTGATTAATTTAAACCATTAAATAGATTATGCACAGATTGTATTCATCTTTGAACTTTGCCTTTCTTGGTGAATAAGATATCAATCAAGTTTCTTCAGAATCTTGCCAAATCTGACAAAGTTACTTGGCAAAAACCATTGACCAATCAGAGTACAGTATGCTAACTAATTATGCATGGATTTCACTCAACTTTGAACTTATCGTCTAAGTTTGTATATTGATCAATAAATATTCAAGCTAGTTATCTTGTAAAGTGTGGACATTGACCAGGGTATACATGCTTTTTAATACGTGTGAATAATTTTGTTCAAATTTCAATTTTGCATCAGTCTGTGTATATTGTTACAGAACAATATTTAAGGATGTTAACTTGCTGAAACTAAATTGTGGACAGACAAGTGGACGACTGCTACCCATACCTTTACAAGTGTCTCAATAATTTTGAAAAGCTTTTAAATACAGTGTTTTATATATTCACTGCAGTGAAAAGGTTTCTTCTTATGAAAAACGGAATTATTTTGCATCTGTGTTCCTAGAAACCAATAAGATACAAAGCACTCTAATACAATATGATACATTGTTGTATGTTTCAATATTGAATAAGATAAACAAAATATAAAAATACATACCTACACACACACAAGATTAGGAGAGATACATTATTTTCCCTCTATTTCCATTGCATAAATTCTTCACAAGAAAAACAACAACTTTATAGCATATGTTCAGCTTTATCATCTTCATAGGCTAGCATTTGAAATAAGATGCACATATTAATTTCAAATATATTTTATAAGAGTACTGTGAATGTACCAGCTAGAGCACATACTATATTATTACAGTTGTCATTATTGTTTGTTTCAGAACTGATAGCATTGTGCAACAAATGTTGACAACAAGACTTATTGAAAGTTGAGGTTGCATGTGTATATGCAAACAGGTAGTGCATGATTTAATGTTCAGAATGATGGAGCATGTTTTATAAAAT